TCTCATTTTCAGGTATTCTCTTGTTTTAATTGCAATGTATAATGTGCTGGACCTGATTGGAAGATTTACCCCTCTCATAGAATATATCTGCATAGAATCAAGAAAAGGCCTGATGATTGCAATCATATCTCGTTTCATATTCATTCCTGCGTTTTATTTCACGGCAAAATATGGAGGACAAGGCTGGATGATCTTCCTGACATCATTATTAGGGTTAACTAACGGTCATCTTACTGTTTGCGTTCTCACTGCAGCTCCAAAAGGATACAAGGTTAGTCTTTCTTATAGAGATATATGTATGGAGAGAAATATAGATATTGATATAACTTTATTTCGTGTCATGTAAATCATTGCAGGGGCCGGAGGCTAATGCTTTGGGAAATTTGCTGGTTCTGTTTCTTCTAGGTGGTCTTTTTTCAGGAGTTGCATTAGATTGGCTGTGGCTTATTGGGAAAGGCTGGTGAGGTTATTATATTTGAAAGTGGTCTTATATTCTCTGTTATGTGAAGTAATATGTGGCTTATTGGGAAAGGCTGGTGAGGTTATTATATGTGAAAGTGGTCTTATATTCTCTGAAGTAATGTAAGGTATATATCTTGAATCTTTGATCACAAAATAAGTGTTGGAAGGCTTGAGATATTTTTTAATTAAATGACTTTATAATTTCATTTGTTAATCATCTTTTGTGATGGTGATTACGGGTTTGTTTAGTTATGTAGTTTTTTTTTTTGTTTATGATCTTCCTTGAATAAAAATTGTGAAACTTTTGTTCAAGTTATGCTGATCAAAATTTAATTATTTGTATCAAAACTTTGTTATGCAAATCACACTCAATTTGTTTCGTAAAAAAAGTTGAACTAATTTTTATGCAACGATTTGTACAAGATCAAACAGTCTATATGCAGTGGAAGTTAATAGGAATAATGGGAGGATATAAAGTGGATATCATGTTACATGAAAGGTACTAATAACTGATTAAAATTTATAAAGGTTTGGCTTTAAATTATAATGATAAATTGTTGTGACTTTAAGAAGAGATTAGGCCACTATTTCTGAAATGATATTGACATCAACTCACTGTTAAGACAATATATAATATCTTTATCTCACAGGTAAAAGATGAATGCATGGTTATCGCTAAAACTAACAAAGAGATGATTGGACTAAAATTTTTGTTGAACAAAGATTTTAAATTAAGCATAAGAAAATGTTTCTATATTGTGACAGTTGAAGTTAAGAGCGTTATTTATATTCTAAATAGAACATAGACAATTCGACTATCATTCCATGTATAACTTCTTCAAAATGATGTCATAGGGCTTGTCAAAATAGAAAAAAAAAATCCAAAAAATCTATTGTCGTGTTTATGAAAGTGGTATGAATTGAAGAATTGAGATTTTGTATAGCCCCAATTAGCTTCTATAAATGATAATGGAGATAACTTATAGAGTAGTGTTTAGATGCCCATAAATGAGTATATTATAAATTTAATTTATGAGTTGGAGATTATTAAGATATGAAGTTAAATTCTTTACATATCTCCTACAAGTTTTTATCTATTACTCTATACCTTATGTACATTTAGTACATATCATCCTCCACCTGACATCAACATGATCATACATGCCATCTTCTGCCCAATAAATTCAAGTTTGTCACCAACCACTTTAGAATGCTAAAAGATGTTTTCTTTGACTTATTGCACACAATCATAGACAAATAGAAAAAAGATCATATGAGAAACTAGTGAGGCTTTAACATTCAACCATAATGAAATGTTCTTGTACTGATTAATTTCACTAAAAATGTATAAGGGGTGTACACTTGTGAGTTTCTCACCTTATCTCAGTTCTATACCATTTACGAAGACATCAAGGTCGATGCCAAGTTCAACATATGAGTTTCTCACCTTATCTCAGTTCTATACCATTTATGAAGACATCAAGGTTGATGCCAAGTTCAACATATTATCACTCAAGCTTAGGAAATGACCACAAACCCATCTTCTGCTATGTAATCGTATTATAAAGAGTAACTAAGCCATCAATTGGTTCCAAAAAAAAATGATACATATTGTTGAATCCTTTTAGGATGTAGGGTATTGTAATGTTCATAGATTATGCCCAAAATCGAACTAGCATTGAGTAGAAGAGGGAGAAGTAAAGAGAGAGAAGGAGAATGTGTTTAGAGAGAGCCCTGCTTCCTTGCTTTCTCATTTTTACATTTGACCAATATTTGTTAGTCTTGCGTGTCTTTTTATCATGATATACAAAATTATATAAAGGTACATTGTGTTAAGTCATATCTAACAGCTTTAGATCATCTCTAGCATCTTTATGTCATATCCAGTAGCTTTGTTTTATAGCTTTATGTCATGTCCCACCATATAGTTGAACTAATCAACTCGACTGCTTGGTAGCTCAACAGTTCATCTGCTCGACAACTTGATAGCTTGGCAAGCCTTTTTAATTTAGTATATACATTTAGTTCTCTGCTTCTCTTATTATTTTGACAGGCATTTGCAAGAAAAAAAGGAAGAGAATAAAAAATATGAAGCTATTTATTACTCCTCTCTATAGGACAAGCTTATATTTCATTTATTTGAAAAATGAATTATGTGGTCTTCAATCCATATGTTAACAAAATTTATCATTTATTCAACCAAGCTATCTTTTGAAAAGTGTTTTCACAAAGTCAACCTTAACATTCAACTATTGACTCGAGTAGGGTTTAAAAGTTTGGACAAATTTTCATTTCTAATGAAGGTTGCTTACGAGGGGTAAATTCCTTGATTTAAAAAAAAATGAAAACATTAATGAAAAATAATATAGAACAAATTAGAGATAGTTGAGTTTAAAGGATGCAAGAATAAAAGATTTAAGGAGAAGTTATCTTTTTCTCATCTACTGAAGATTCCTCTAGTGTGATCTTTGTTATCCTTATTGAGAAGTTTTCACATAACTAAAAATTTAATGCATTCATCAATACTCACCCATTGAGTGGAAGAGGAATGAAATAACTAAAAATTTAATGCATTCATCAATACTCACCCCACCACTAACATTGAGTGGAAGAGGAATGAAGAAAGAGGGAGGAGTAGCCCATGGGAAGGGGGAGCTTGCCTCCCACCTTCTCATTCTTACATTTGACCCCTATTTTTAAGCCTTAAGGAGTCTTTTTAACATGTTATTCTAAATTATATGAAGTTAAATAATGATAAGTCATACACAATAGCTTTATGTCATTTTTAGGAGCTTTATGTAACCAATAATTTATATCATGTCTGGTTGTTTTACGTAATGTCCTGTGTCTTTGTCATGTCCCACCATATAGTTAAATTCCTTAGCTTCTTAGCATGACAACTTGGAGGTGAGGTTTTTTTATTGTGTATACACCACAGATCTGAGAATATTTCTTTCTAAATGATCAAATGCAAAATTTGAAAAATGACATACTATCCCGAGGGTTAAAAATATTATCTTAAAATAGATTTAAAGAAAAATCTCCATAATTCATAGGTCTACAGAACTAGGGTTATTCCCTATGCGTGTAAGATAAAATTATTTTATTTCGGGATTTGGTATGCCTAGGACGGAAGCTATCATAGATAAAGTTTTTAGTTATATCGGGCACTATTAAATGGTAAGTGTTTATGGGATGATTGATATCGAAGACTCAAATTGATAGATTTTGGATTGAAATAATTTAAATAAGAATTAAAAGGATTTGGATGGGCTTGATTATGTTTAATTCACTTGGGTTGAAAATTTGAGTTAGTTGAGTTTAATTTTATTTTAGAGTTTGAGTTGATTTATTTATTTTGATTAATTAAAGTTTATTTTAAAAGTTGTGTTGTTGGGAATATGTTTAAATCTATTTATCTTATTTCTGTTTAAATTCATTTATTTAGCTTTTTTGAAATTATTTTTTATGTTAATGTCCGTTAAAATAATTAGGTTTATTTTTAGGTTTATTTTATTATTATCTTAAGATTAATACGATTTATTTAAGGATAATTGATTTCATTATGAAAATTTATTTGAGCTTGTTGAAAGATTTAAGATTTTTTGGTGTTTTTTACAATTCAATAAAGTTTTAAATTTAAGTTTCTTAAAATTTTATAAAATTTTAGGGTTTATTTAGAATTTTTTAAAGCATTATTAAAATTTGTTAATATTCATTTAAGTTTGTTAAAATTCATTTGAGCTTGTTAAATTGTATTGGATTTTATTTAAGTTAAAGTTGATTAAAGTTGATGAAGTTAGATTAATGTTGTCTTAATTTAAGGTTAACTAATTTTATTATATCTTATGAAGTTGTTCAAAGTTGTTTAAATTTAGTTAAAGTTTATTCAAAGTTAATTAAATTTTGTTATATTTCATTAAAGTTTTATTAAAGTTGGCTGAAACATGGAAATTTAACTGAAATTTATTAAATTTATTATATTTTATGTGGTTGTTAATGTTGATTACCTTTGATTAAATTTTATTTAACCTGAGTTTGAGTTTTAGGATCTTGAACATGTAGGATTTAGTCTGACAATCACCGGCTAAAAATGGACATTTGATATTGGGTTTAGGGTTTACATTTAATTTTGAGTTTTGAAATTAAGTTTGAACTTTGAATTTGAGCTTTTTTAAAAAGTACATTTTATATATATATTAAGTTTAACTATATATATATATATAGTTTTGAAAAACAATATTTTAATTTTTAAAAATACGAGACCGAACCGATCTCATATAGATAGTAGTTTAAATAAATGAAGACAACACTACAAGTGATATACCTATCCCAAGAAATAGACATATTACCTGATAGTAATACTCGATTAAATAAATTAAAGGATTTATGATATCTATTTTAGTCTGTGAAACCTTTATGTTGATAGACAAATTTCTCCTATATAATATAAAAGATTAGACATGGTTTATATTAAAGTGGGTTCTAAAGTTTCTTATAAGGGAAAACCCTTATAGTTAATTACATCCTAAGAAAGTGAAATCACCTAAGAAAAATCTTGATTTACATTCTTATAAGGGAAAACCCTTATAGTTAATTACATCCTAAGAAAGCGAAATCACCTAAGAAAAATCTTGATTTACATTAAGAAGTATTATCTTCAAGAATTTTAAAGTATAGAACTTTTAAGGTCGGACAAAGGATCAAGTTCGGAACATTAATTATGAAATCCAAAGGGAGAAAACAAGGAGAAGTTATGGATCCTGCGGAGAATCTTAGTGACATCCCAAGCTATCTTATGGTTTGGCTTCAATTTTCAGGAAATATTCTTATGAAATCCAAAGGGAGAAAACAAGGAGAAGTTACGGATCCTGCGGAGAATCTTAGTGACATCCCAAGCTGTCTTATGGTTTGGCTTCAATTTTCAGGAAATATTTTTAAATGTTTCATCCTTCCAATTATTATTATTTAGTGTTTACACTTATATGACAGAATCATACAAATAGCCTGAATGATAGAAGAGTTTATGTCATAACAAACGACAA